TTTCACATTTCTCAGTACTAGGCTCTATAGCCAACCACCCTCCCCTCCACACCTCACCTACTTGAGTCTTGGGACATACAATTAAGGAGTTGACCCTAGGCATCACCAGTCATCACCAAAACTCTACATATCACTGAGAGCTAATATTTAAAGGATGGGTTTTGGCAGGTTGAATACTAAAGGGTTAAAGACTCAAGTAACTGAACAATTAAATATTAAAATTTTCAGTAATTGCCATTTTAAATAGCCTTAATTTAATTACCTTTTTTGGGCAATACAATAATAAATTATTCCTGACAAAGCCTAAATTATTTTGGTAATATCATTATCTTTTTTTACATTGTATGCTATAATGGGTTTGCAAAAAAAGATGATAAAATGTTCATAATGTTTTAGGTAATTGGGTCAGTTGTTACTTTTTAACAGAAAAGGTAGCTTTTAAAAGGACTGAAAGGGAAAATGATGAAAAGGTAGTTCTATTTATTCTATGTTAATGGTATTTTGCATTGTGACTTCAAACATTTTTTTTTTTTTGTTTCTGAATTATTTATTTCATTATTGATTTTATACATATTTATATAAATTGTCATTAGCTCTTCAAATGATTGATTTTGGTTGGTCCAAATATGACATCCCATACCAAACTATAAACTGGCTTCTAAAAATGTCTGCTACCTTGACTACCAAATGCAGACTGCAGAGTTGGCTAGCTGACTCCAGGATCTGTATAACTCAGTGCCAAGATTAACATATGGTAGTGGCCAGAATCAAGACAAATGTCAGAATTGCACAGACCTTGTATTTGGAAACCAATTGTTTTTGCTTCAACTTTATTGTTTTGTTTTGTGTGCATCTGTACATGTCTTAAATATGCCAAAAAGGTTCAATATGGAAGCTAAAGGTGAGGGCTTTAGTTTCCATATTAAAATCTTTTCTTTTTTTATAGTGATAATTTTAATGTCCAGAAAAAAAAAATAAAAATGTCACTACCCACAATTCTAGATGAATGAAAAGATTTGTAGAAGATGGATGTTGACTAAGTTAATGTTAGCTTTTTAGGATTTTATGAATTGATAGAGAAAGAGAGAAGGTTGGTTCTACAATTTTGAACTTTGTTGAAAAATAAGAAGTTGAAAATGCAAAAAAAAAAAATAATGAAAAACTCAAAAGAAAATTGGTAAATGTGGAGACACATTAGTCAGAATAAAAATGTAGTACAAAATATATACAAGATGTGTCTGAAAAGGATCATGCTATTAACAAAGAAAAAAGAAAAAAAGAATTAACATGCCTAGCGCAATAGTGTCTTAGTCTCTTTTAAAACATTCTTCTTCAGACCTTATACACTTTTGCCTGCATTGCTTCCACTTTTTAAAACAGTCTGCAAAAATCCTCTTTGGGCATTGCCATCAGCTGTTATGTCCTACTCTCCTTAATCTTGTATATAATCTGTAATTTCCTTTTTTTCAATAGTGATTTTAGTTTCAGGAAAAACCGGAAGTCACAGGCTGTCAATTTCAAACTGGCACAGAGTACTAATAAACATGGGTAATACAGTATGTTACTAAAAGAAAAAAAGTTATTTTGCAAAAAAGAAAACATTGCTGAGTAGCCCACCCTGGGGGAGTATTTGTTCATGCATGTGCAGTAAGGTTTTTTCTAATTAGTTGTCAAGTTACATAATAGCTGAGCAAATGGTTCTTGATGTATTCAAAATGGCTGGATATTCTACCAACAGACATATCTTGGGAAGGCAGTTGGTAAAACAATATTTACAAAAAAAAAAACAAATTAGATGAAAGGAACAAGCAACAAGAATTGATAGCATTTAATGGGCTGAACTGAATTAAGTGAATTAGAATAATTATTCTGTATATACATTGAAGCAGTCAAGTTTTCAGTTATCCTATTTAGTTATTACAAAATTTAAATGTACCTAGACAAATCCACCATAGGCATTAGCATATAAAAGAAACTAACTGCTTGAATGTTGGCTTGAACCTAAAACATCTTATTAAAGAAATTATAGTCTTTACTTGTTGGACACAGCTAATTAAACAAATCAGTTATAATGAAGAATTTTTCATGATTTATATCACTTATCAAAAATGTTAATTGTATTAGTAATAGTAGTAGCACTAATAGTTATATATAAATTGTTTATATTATTATTAGTAGTAGTAGTAATGATAGTAGTAGTGAAAAATATTGTTTGCAGCACTTTTGGTAGTAGTAATCTTATAGAAAAAATGATTGCTGTAAGTTATTGTATAGTTCTATATAAGAACTAATTTGTTAGTAGTATGACTAAAAGATTTCGAAAATATGTAAGTCCTATATGCCATCAAATATGGTACATTTTGTTGTTGATTAGTATCATATTCTTTAAACTCAAAGCAAATACTTCATCAAACCTAAAATAGTTAAGACAAAAGAGAAAACAATGTTTTTCACTTGGGGAGATTCAAGCAGATTTGTTAATCTTACAGTTTTGTGTCTTGTCTTTTTTTAATGATTGTATTTTGGCAAAGAATAGCATCAGAGTTGTTAAATGTTAGAGATATACAATCACCTCATATGTGTATTGTTTTATTTAAATAAATAGGCTGTCTTGTCAGTCCCAGTAAAATACACACCAATTCTATTTTACTGGTAAATATAAATAGCATTTTAGAATTAAGAAATATATTCATCAATTGATGGTGTAAATGATTTTAAATTTTCTTAACAGTTGATGGTGAAGATAAATAAACTTCTGTGTTAAATCTGTGTGTTGTATTTTTAACATTACCTGTTTTCATGATAATAAAAATATTTACTGGCAAAATAGCCTCCACCTTATTTAAAAGGTAAAAATCTTTAGTCATTCATCGTAATGAATCTGACCATAATTTGAATTTTAAAATGCTGCTTTAATTACAAAGATAATGTAATTTACTAAGGTAAAAATGTATATAAAGTGCACTGATTTCTGAATCTACCACAGTAAATTTGCATCCAGGTTCTTACAACATTTCACCTTTCTTTACAAATTTTCTATTGTCACAATGGGGGATATTTAAAAACAACACTGATTTAAAAAAAAAAAAAAAAAAAATCTTTGTGCAGACTATTAAGTAGTTGCATAAAAAACAGCCTTTTCTCAAATTTTGTTCCATGTTGAGTTATTCACTAAAAGATACACTTTGACTATTAGCACTTATTTGACTGTTACTGTTAGAAAGGGGAACAATATCAGTATAAAAGAAATATACAATTATAATAATTACTAAAATGAATTTCTGTTTGAATTATTGGGATGTGGAGATATCTATGTACTAGTATCTGAAAAAAAATCATTGTTATCAAAAAACATTGATAGTACAATATTCACTCACAAATAAAGAATTATTCTTACAATCCAAAACATGTTTTGTCTTTAAACAGCCTACAAAGGAGTGATAAACTGTAAAAAAACCCCAAAAAAAACAAATCAATGAATCAATCAAGGAATTTCAAACTGAACCTGTTGGGTAGATTGTTCTTGTTCTGCTGACTATGTCTAAGGACATCTTGTCTAGTTCTTATTTAGTACTGCTCAGTTATTGCTCACCCCATTTCCATGTCTGCACTGCCCAGCCCAGCCCAGCCCAGCCCAGCCCAGCCCAGGGATTAAACTCACAGTTACTATGTAATCAATTTCAAAAACCAATGCCTCAGTAGGTTATTGTTTCAAAAAGTACTAAATAAGAATTAGATTAAATAACGGTTTCAATTTGAAATTCTCTGAAGGTTACTTGGATTGACAAGCATCTGATGAAGGCTGGAGGACACAACAGCCAAAATGTGATATAAATACCAAAGTTGAAAGACATTACACCATGGTTTTAATGGCTGGCTGCTTGTAACTGAGTATGCTTGTCTATCCTGTTGTAGATACCTGCTTTGGAACATTTGTGTTTGTTCAACACCTGCAGAGCCCACCTGTGGTTTATACTTCAACTATACTGAGAAGATCTTAGTTACAGTTTCTGAGAGACAGCAAGCTATCTAGTGGGATCAACAGTCTGAACAAAGCCAGACACTCAAACTCTCGGTCATGATGACTTTGGGCTAGCACAACCATTGATGACTCCCCAAATAGTTCTGTCTACCCAATTTTACTCACAAGATTTGGATCAACCCGTGGTATTGTTTTCAGGTACTTTCCAAAGGTGCTATGTGCTAGGATCGCCTACCCAAGCCAATAACAATCAAGAAGTCACCTTCCTTAGAAATCAACCATGATGAGATTTGAACCTTGGTCTCATGATCAGAAAGCAAATGTTTTAACCACTTGGCCACATGCCCATATAAATATATTTACACAGATATGTAGGTATTGAATGTCAGTGTAAAACTTGGTCATATGTGAACTAAGTTCATATTCCAGGCTAGTCTGTTGCATTCATTTATCCAAATGCCATTAGAAAAGAGATGAATCTATTTCTTCTCTCCCCAGCTATGGGTTAAATCACAGGACAGACTAGGTTCTCTAGAAAATTAGGTTAGGTACCTGTATGTCTATTGTTATGGTCAGAGAAACAAAGAAACAGAAAAAGTTACCATCTCCATCAGATAGACAGATCACAGTATCTTTATATTCATTGTTTTACATTAAATGTGTTTCATCTTATTTTTTTTACATTCATAAAGATATAGTTTTTTCTTGCTCTTTTGTTTTTAAGGTTTTACAAGCACTGGTTAACTCTATGTAACTTAATCTAAATATGTTTTTATAGCAAAATGACTATGAAAAGTAAATGTTTTATATAATTAATATAATTACACTTTATGTAAAATCGTTTGACAGCTGTTTTTTAGGGTAATATAATTATCTAAAGTCATAATCATTTGAAGAGTTTACTAAAGAACATTTAAAATAGAATGCATGCTGGAAAACAATTTTAAGTTTTTTGCCATGTTTATTTTGTTGTATTTAATATTCTTTAACAAAACTGGTCTTTTTTTTTCTTATATAGGTAACAGTCTTGAATCCAAGAGAAGGTACCAAACTCTATGCAGGTACAACTTCTGCTGATTCTCTCTTAATGAATCCATCCCACCCTATCATTGCGCTAAAAGGTAAATACTTTATCTTTAATTATTTATCTATTATTTCAGGTTACTCTTGAACAATAGGTACTGTATTTGATGACATATAAGACATGATTATTTTCAGAGAAAAATAGCTAAAAAATATATCCCTGGATCTTATAAGATTTAGGGATATAGAAGGTGATTATCTCCCATCGGTGGGGATAAGTCACATGAATCACATGATAGACCACTTATTGATGTCACTCCATACAGTGACAAAAGCGGCAGTCAATTTTACTTTGTTTACAGCAGTCAAACTGAGAGGTTGCTTTCTTTAGCCTGGGCTCCCCATGGCCCTAGGCAGATGCTAAATCTGCCTCTCCAGCAGCTTACAAGTTCATGGTGCCATTTCCCTTTGGGATTATATCTTTCCCAGATATGGAAAGAAACTCTAACTCGCAGTCCTCAATTTGGAAAAACCCTAGACTCGCTGTTTTCCATTCATGAAATATGTCCTTGCTTGTGACATAATAGATAACTATGGCCCATTTGAATCTGGAGTCCTAAATAGGGCTTCTCCAGACACAGTGTTATCTCCATATTATATATAAGACACTTCCTTTTAGTTTCTCCTTACAATCTGCTTTGCTGTGTAGATATATGTGATATATTTTTATCTGCATGGTACATGTGTATATATGTATATATAGTTTTGTGTATGTCTTAGTATAGAAGTCTTTCTGAGAACAAAATATGTTTTCCATTCCATTCCATCCGTGAACTACAGTGTCATTATATCATGAATATAATAATGTGGGTAGATACAAATAGGAGAATAAATCTTTCTTCCCTAGCTCTCTCCCGCTATAGTGGTGACCACAAGACAATATTATTTACTCAACATGTGATATCATCAGCCATTAAGGTATCTGGTAGACTAATGTTTACCCAGGCATCATAGGCTACTAATACAGGTACCTAAATTAATTCCATAATATTATATACTCAAATATCATTATTATCATCATTATTGCTGTTATTTTTTTATTACTGTATTTTTTTTACTGTAGTTACATATTTCAATGACATTAAATATTTACTGGTAAATAGGCAATTTCTTTATGAAATAGACAAAGTGCTTTGACCTGGAGAGGGATGGGTCTACTTGCCATGACATTGAATATGATATTTACCAATTGTCAGCTTTTCTTTTGCAATGATAGGAGATTAGAACAACCTAACACTTTTGGTATTTTATTTTAAAGATTAATGAAGCTTTTCTGTTTTTAAAGTTGTCACTGCTCCAGTAAGTAAATTGTTATAAAAAGTTTTTATTTTCTATAAAATTAAAATTAAGTTCCTTATAAGAAATGAGATATGATCAATAAAATCATAAGATTATTAGCTGTACTTTAATCTGAAATTTTTGCTGTTTACTGTTCAGTCTGTTATTAATGGAGAAACACAGAGTTAAGTGCATTGACAACAAAGGAGATCATGTTGAAAAATATTTATTATATGAAATCTTTTATCATTATTGAATGCTGGTTCTGTAATGCCTTAATAAACATATTATCAGCAGCAGCCCTTAATAAACATATTATCAGCAGCAGCCTTAACAGGTGAATCCTTAAGTAACTTGATTTTTCTCCTTTCTCAAAGTGTGTCATCAACTTTTCACACCAAAACAAAAAAGGGCTGTGGTTGCTTCACACACCTACACAGGCAGGTCACCCAAATACATTAACAATTTTCATTGTGTATTCCATTTATTCCTAGGTAAAGAAACTCTTAAAGTTACCTTTTGTTATTTTTGTTAAATAAAAGTTATTTTGTATTGCAGATCCCTTGGTTTCTGTTATTTTGTGCATGTACTTTTTCAGCACCATTATTTCATGTAGAATATTCTTGTAGAAACCTTATACATTAATTATAGAAGTAGCCAACACACTAAACTGGCTTAAAGATGTTAAAATGTAATTTTAAAAAATATTGGATACACATTAATGAGTAGGAAAACAGACTACCACTGAAAAAAATTACATCATACACTGGGAAAAGATTAGATGATCAACACTTTGTTGTATTTGTATGTTATAATTTTTCTATGTGTATATATCAGAATAAAAAAATCTCTTGAAAACAATGCATATTTGTCATTCCTTCTTTCAGCTATTCTTTTTCATCTGTGAATTAAAGTGTTACTATATCATGGTTATAATAATACCTATAATGGAGAAATACAAACTAGACATATTCTCTATTGTCTAGCATCCCCATTTTGACTAAAGGGCATAGACAATTGTTTTTTTAACCATTATTTTTTTTCTATACAAATGAATGTAGGTTAGTGATTAATGTAAGAACTGTCCAAAGGTTTTTGATCAGCTCCTTTCAGTTAAATTTTGATGGATCTTTTTTTATCTGTTAATCATAAAAGATATGTTAATTGTTTTTTATGTTCTTAATAATATAATCCTTAAAACTTAATTCCTGTTATCACTCAAGTTAGCAACAAACAAACCTAGTTCATCCATCACTCTAGATTCTTGTGATTATAAAAATATTTTGTCATTTTTCTTTTATATGCTCATAGATTGCTCAGAGAGAACAAGCGACTAGCTGTTTATATTCAACCCACATTGCTAGAAATTATTTATTTCTTTTTATATTGGCTTCAAGTATTCTCTCTTTCTTTTCTTTCTTTCTTTTTTTTAATAATAATCTCTACTGATATATTTCCCATGATTTAATTTATGTTTCATGTCAAAACTTTATTATTTTTCTGAAGATATTCTAAGCATGAAATATTTTATTGTGTTAAGAATTTATCAGATCTTTTAAGCAAGTTTCAGTTCTAATTTATTTAGAAGGAAAATTCTGACATTGAAGCTATGGAGTGTTATTTGTCAGGATTTTCAGTTTATTTCTTTTTAATTTATTAAGATCTCTTTTACACAGGAAATTAGGAAATTATCTGGCCAATATAATAAAGAAAAAACAATATTATCTATAATTTTGAGATTATTATTCCAAGATTTGTTTAACAATTTTTGTGTTACTGATGTTGTTGTTCCCATAATATTCTGACTAATGCATTCTACAGAAGTCTTCAAATTTTTTGATTGATTGATTCTTTCATTTTCTACAGCTACTCAACCTTTTTCAGGTTTAAATAACCAGAAAATATTTTTAGATTGTAAGAAATTTTTTTTTTTTTTTTTAATAATAATGATTTAGTGATACAAGTCTTACTAATTAACCCATAGCTGGGGAGAGAAGATGTAGATAACGAACCTATCTGGAATTGGAACTCGGCTCTGTGATTAACATTTCTGAGCGATTATCCATTACAACACCTGGTATTCCCAGGCACCCATCTAGGTACTGACCAGAATTAATATTGCTTAACTTTGGTGATCATACAGGAACCAATGTTTTCAATGTGATGTGGCCATAAGCCAATTCTCCAGATGTACAGGTTTAATGTACATAAAGTAAAGGTACATCCAAGGAAAAGACAGAAAAGTCTAGTATGACATACAATATCTAGAGAGAGACTACCTGTTATGGGATTAGTTTCAGATAAATGACAGAGGACACCACTGAAGAGTAAGAAAGGTAGAAAAAGTGACATACATCAACTTGTCAGTTTGTTGCATGAGTCAGACCAGTATAAATTTCATTATGGTGTGGCTTTCTTTGCTTAACAGAGAGGGAATCTAGGAATATCTCACCTCCCCTGGGTATGAATTAGAATCATTTTCATGACATGAGGGTAAATGGTATAGTCTGTGTATCTCATGTGGCTGAAATGAACTGAACTAGCTACCATTTTCTTCTGTTCATCATTCTGTTCTATGAAAAAATAAATGAGTTCCTTTTAAACCAGAAGAAGACTGTAGATTGGTGTGACTAAAATTTTATGCTAACCACATCGACACAAAGAATAATTCTCATAGATTTTATAGTAATTTAAATAATTGTTAGTATGGATATCTTTATTAAATGGCTAATCTTAATAAAATAATGTCTATTTATAACATGTCTCTATATTCAGGGATGGATCTAGGATTTTGAATAAAGTGGGGTTCAAATGCCCAAATTTAAGGTGGGAACAGATGGTGATTAATATTTTGGCAAGGTGTTTGGAGATTTACTCTTTAGTTACTGGTTTATTTAAATTTACATTTATATATATAATCTGTAAATTACCATATAAAGAAGGAATTTTCAGCAATATTTAACCTTCATGGGCCCCCCAAAAATGGTGTGTTAAAATGACAATTATTCCCTTGACACTGCTAGTACTGTACATACTTTTGACTTCCTCGGCAATGTTTATTTATCAGATTATAAAAATATGTGAATCATGTACAATGTGGTATTTATTATTTACCTTTTATAAAGATTTATTATTTCAAATTTTATAAAGAAATTTGAAAATCTTCTTTTTCAAAACTTTATAAAAAATTCCAAAATTATCAAAATGTGTAAAGAAATTATGATGCGATATTTATTATTTACCATTTTATAAATAGTTATGAAAATAAGATTTTTTTATTCATACTAATAAATCGTGTTTAATATCTTTGTTGTTAACTCTCAAAAATAAAGAAAATGTATAAATCTACTTTCATATGTTTGGGTTAAAAATTCTAACCATTGCTTTGTAAAATCTATATAAATAATTCTGTGACTTCTGTTAGTCCATCCATCTGTCAATCTGTTATACCTGAAATAGCCATACATTGAATGATCAAAACCAAATTTTGGAGAGAAATGCAAAGTGGTAAAGTGTACAAAGTACAGTTGGTTTTAATAGGATGCATAGCTTAGTACAATAAAAAAAAACGATTGGTTTGTGAAAGTGAATGAAACATAGAGTTTGTAAATCTCAACAAAAATGTTTGCAATAACTTCAACAATACTAAATACTGTGAGGATTTCAACACGCATCAGTATTGCAAAATATTTCTAGTAATAAACACTGACAGTATATTTAAAAAGTGTATACAGTAATAGCGGCGTTAAGGAAATAACCTTTTTTTTTTTTTTGCAAACATGAAGATTAAACATTGCCAAATTTTCAATCTGATCACGTGAAAGACAGGAAGCTGCTGATCTGGTGTGGGGGGAAGTATTGCTCACCTACTTGCACTCATAAATCTTGCCTTCATCCTGTCCTTCTAAACATCATTTTAAATGCCCTCTCCCTACAGATTCTATTTTTTTTTATTATCTGAATTGCCATTACTTCTTGGGAAAGATAATGATTTCCTGTTGTCTTCCCCACAGTTCTAAATTCAAACTTATCTTCTAGACTTGGCTGCCTATCCAAGGTTAAGAGCCCAGTCTAACCTGCTATTTAATCTGTAATTAGGGGAATCTTCAAATATTTATAATAATAAAAAACAAAAAAAAACTCGAAATCACTCATCTTCAAATTACCAAAGAATAATTTGTGCAATTTAATCTTTTATTTTTTTTTTTTCATATTTTTAGCTAAAATAATTTATTTGCTTTTATCTTCCAGCAAGTTTACGATTTGAGGTATTCAACTTTGGTGCTAAAATGCTGGTTAGCAAGATGGACATGGTTGACAGGGTCACCTATTGGACGTGGGTCAACTCTGATATCATTGCTATTGTAACTGATAGTGCAGTCTTTCACTGGGACCTTTGGCAAGGTAAGTTCATTCTATCACACTCAAGAAAATTGGCAAATGACATCCCAATACCCAATGTCCTGCTGCTGAAATATTCTGATAAAATTTGTTTGGAATACTAATGTAGTTTTTATTTATTCATATATTTTTTAATGTTTTAAATTATTTTTCTTTCTTTTTTCAAATAATGTTATGGTATTAAACTTATTTAAAATAACAAAAACTAAATGTACCATTCTTTGAATTTTTATTACTTTTTAATATGACAGCCATGAAAACAAAGTTTTTTTTTTTTTATCCAAGCTTAACATATTCTTGTTCTAATCTAAAGGTCTTAATGACCACCATCCATTTGAGACATTAGTCATAAGTGGAAACCTATAATTAATAGGACCACTAATTAAGACCATATTTTTTAATAAGCCTATAGTTAATACCCAATATTTTTTTTTTGAAACCTATAATATCAGATTTTGATTTTTATATTAGTTTTTTTATAGTTGGTTAATGGGCTAATGAAAATTAAAAACAAAAACAAAGCTCTTTCAAAATTTTCCAAAACATTTTTTAAAACTTCTTTTGACCATTTGTACTATTTAAAAAATCTGTCTCAGAAATTTCAATTAAATTTTTTTCATGGATAACAACATATATATATATATGTATGTGTGTATATATATATATATATATATATATATATATATATATATATATATATATATATATATATATATATATATATATATATATATACTAGTAGAGCCCAGCGTTGCCGGGGATGTAAAGATAGATCAAGTATCGACCATCATAAAGACTGAAAAATAAAATTGACAAAATTATTGTTTTAAGGTTGATGGGCACGCATGTCTTAATTAGTTTTTTTTTTTTTTTTTACGAATTGGTCAAACCCAAATTCAAACAAAAACATTGTTTACAATCGTTATGAGTCTATCGATCAATGAATAGAATTTTATTATAAACAATTGTCTTGTAAATGGAATTTTTAAAGCATTCTGAATGTAAATAAAAAAAAAAGTGTGCAAGACAATAAGAAATACTATCTGCCAAAAAAAAAAAAAAAGTGGATGTTTGTTTTATCGGCTGAAAAATGTAAGAAAATCAATCCTATATATAAAGGAACACACACACACACACACATAAACAACCTGGGTTTTTAACCTAAGTCACTCCACGGAATCGCTAAAACATAGAGCATAGTCTGATGAAAAAAGACAAAATTTTATCGTCAAAATGCTTATGTTTTTTATGAAGAGGATAGACTAAATTTTTTTTTAATTATTTTTAAAAATTTTTTTTCCATCTTTTAGAATATTCTAAATTTTGATTTAAAAACTTTGTTTCTCTTTTGTCGCAACAAAAGGGGTAGTAAATAACATAGATAATTTTTAGCGTTTTTTTGCATTTACACATTAATTTGGAAAATCTTGCAAAAATAAAAATAATTGTCAGATGTTAATGAAACTTTCAGAAACTATTCACAGATGATTGAAATTATTATAAATATGTTTTTTTTTTTTATTAAAGTCATGGCAGAAATTTTTTTTTTATATTTATTAACACCCCCATAACTAATTTTATGAAAAACTCTAGAAATTCGAGACCATCGGTTTTAGTGATTACAATAGTTAAAAGCACAAGGCTTTGAAGAATGCAAATCATGTTTTTTTTTTTTGGCCAACGTACCTGAAAATCAGCTGTGAATTGTAACATACAAAACTCAATAAAACAAATATATTATTTAGTTTCAAATGCTTTTATTTGTTTTAATTTGTTTTTATGAATATGGACAATATTTTCTGAAAGCAAAAAATTTTTCAATGAAAATTGAATTTTTAATACAATTATTTCTTATTTCTTTAATTTTAAAAAGATTTTTAAAAAAATTTTTAAATTGAATTTTAAAAAATATTTTAACATTAGTTAAAAGCAACATCAATCTTTCAAAATGTCCGTGTGAGATTGTCATTGTCTAGCGCTTTGAAAATTGTATAATTTGGACCAATCAGATTAGCCATGGTAATTAAGAAATGTAATTTTTGTGTTTATAGTCGGACAGTAATTATCAAGTACGGAAGACCAACCAGAATACAATTTAGTTGCATTATTTGAGTTCAGCATTGTTCTCCGCTGTTAAGCCCTTTACTTTTTGAAACACGTATGGAGAAGTTAATTTGAGTTTTCAATTTCAACTGAGAAGGGTACCTACAAGTAACAGTATCATCTTATGAAATTTAACTCCTGCTAAACTTTAATTTATATGATCTTATTTTTTATATTAATCTCAGTTATGACATTTTTCCATAAATGAAATATCAAAATTAATAATAAAATGAATGGAAATACAAATAAAACAGTAAAATGTAATAAATGTACATAAAATTATAGTATTTTATGTACACTTCTAAATAAAATTTTATAAGAAAGGTACCTAAATTAATTAGATACCTTTTCTTATGAAATTTAATCTCATTAATAACAGTCTTATTTTTTAATTTCTTTATATTTTCCATAAAGCATAAATAAGCGTAAAAAATGAAAGCTAAGTACAAAAAAAAAAAAAATAAATAAAAAAAAATAAAAAATTAAAGCGCTGAAAGTTTTCCTTAAAAGTAACAAGGTAAATAATTTGTTCACTTAAATAATTTCACTTCCTTCCATCCGTGAAAGAATTCTCCTCCGTAAGTTATCTAAACGTCATGAATGTGCCTTTTCGTCAATCGTCAAGTGACCTTGAAAGGTTATGACCTGCTTTGTTTTATTTTCAAATTACATTTTTTGGCGCAGAAACTAAGTTAAGCTTGGTTCAAAATATTTTAAATAAACAGTATAGTTTCTGTTTTTATTAAAATCAGTTTTGAAAAAATGATAATTGATTTTAAAGAATATCAAAGTAAGATTTTAATCTTTTTTATCAAATCGAAAAAAATGATTGAAAATGATTGATTCTGTCCTTTTTTTTTTGACCAAAAAAAAAACAATATTTTTAACGAAAATTTCAGACGTGCTAGGAACAATTAAAAAATGTAAAAAAATACCCCCAAAATACTTTGATCTTTCCTCTTTAATAATAATGAACATTAGACGATAAAATTTTGTTTTCGTCAAGTTCGGCATCTTTTTCATCATTCTATGCTCTTTTGTTTACATTTTCGTGGGTGAGTTGTCCCCCTTTCATTCTCATGATGTGTCTTAATCGTGTTTTCAAATTGATTTTATTAAAAACAACTGTGTTTTTCCCATTTTCAGCCCTGTTAGAACCACCACAAGGTAATTTTATGTAGTCCTGTGAAGTTTTGTTGAAACCGGCTAAAAAATGTAGGAAATTCGATCCAACATATAAACGTTACAGACACACACACACAATCTGTGTTTTATAATAAGTATAAGTATGATATATATATATATATATACACACACCCACATATATATGTCGTGATTTGGAATCATATTTTTAAATAAATAATTATATATATATATATATATATATATATACACACACACACACATAATAACTGCTACTTCTTTACAGCATAAGGCCATCACTTCAATGTTGGACTGAGTGGCCATGGGCTCGCAGATGACTTTGCAAATCTGCATCACTCCTGCATACCTTTTTTACATATGTGACACACAAAAGACTTTTGGAAAGTCTTGAAAGTGACTTTCTCCTCATGCACTCTCATGTGCCATTTCAGTTTGGAGTCAGACCTGCAAATTTTATCACAAATCTGACATAAGTATCCTGCAGATCTATCAGGAAGGACATTCACATCGTTGGTATCAGACTGTCGATTTTTACATGTTTTTTTGCTGATTAGCAAATCTGGCATGAGAAAAACCTTTCTGTAGATGCTACATACAATCTCAGACTTGAATGTCTTCTGAGATTGAGTCTACATAACTTTTCCTAAGAGACAACCGCTTTTAATCTCAAAACAATTGCATTCATCAAAAACTAACTTTCTCCAACCAGACCTCTCTACCTCTTTTCCCAGTCTTTGACACTTATTTCAAGATTTTTCAGATTGTCTTTAACAACATCCTTGAAATGTTTCTTGGTTTTGGGTCTGAGGCAATTACAAAAGTGAACTCTCCATAAAACAAGGTGTTTATACTATCTTGCATCTTCCATTCTCCTGAGATGCCCTGTCCAGCACAGTTGATTGTAAATGAGCAATTTCTCTATGCCTGTTGTTTTTGGACCATTGCAGAACAACAGTGCCTGATATGGACGACTTCCACTTGATGTTTCAGATATGCCTAAGGCACTTTAGATGAAATATATGAGAGAGATAGAGAGAGGTACATAGATAAATAAATAAATATTCTTTTTCTCTTAATGAAGAACAAAAAAGTAACAGAAATATTGAGTTTTCTTTATTTTAACAGGAAAAAAATTTAATCCTAATTTTATATGCTTCAAATGTTTAAATAAAACTACCTGGTTGCTTATAAAATGCAGGAAGTTTGAGTATTAAAAAAACCCATAAAACCTTAAATACTACAAGCTTTTACACATTCACATACAGGAGTGTACATTGAATGATTTGGGTGTGTCAGATTCTCTATCTAATGGTATATTATTAGTAAAGAGATATTTTGTAGGGCATATGTGCAGTCATCTATAACATTTTTGCATTTCCCATCTTAAGTAGTATAAAAAAATATGTCAGATATAAAGAAATTAAAATTTTGTGGACATGGTAAAAATATGAATTGAAGAAGATGTATTTGTCAGAATACTACCAATAAATTTATTTAATAAACAAAATTACTTGTAAATTTCCAATATTTAGCATCCTCCTTATTTTCAGTGCTTGGTTACATGTGGAAAGGAGCAGAAAAAATGTTGTGTTTGTAGTTACTCCTTCGAGAATGTATACAGGGTATTATGTGTTTGTTCGTGTGGTCAGATCAGTAGTAGAAAAACTGACTTTGTATGAAATAGATTTCTCTTGATAAATTGTCTCAAACATTTCATCAAAGCTGATCAGTTTTTTTATTTGCTTTACTAGTGTGTTCCCTATATAAGGCCAAAGAGTCACTTGAGAGAGGGTTACTGAAGGGGGTTGTTTTATGAGCAGTAAATGTAAGAGGTAAGAAGCACAGTTTTTGAGGATATGTGGGAAAAATAACTGTTAACTCTAGACTTAAAGAGGTTAAAATTGTAGTGGTCAGGAAAGCATCCTCTAGGGTAGCATTTTTCAAACTTTTATTTACTGTGATGTGCAGCAAGAACCACATTCTACATTGTGATCTGTTATAAGTACATGTAATAAATCAAAACAAACTCTGCTCACTTAATTCATTTATTTAACATCAACAATTTATATGTATATTTCTTATGATCCGCACATATTGGAATTGCATTTATCTATTTGTATGAATATAAAATTATTACTTTTAGAAAAACAAATTTGAAGAAAATTCCATCACTCAGTCCGCAGTGAGTTTGATGAACAAGATACATAAACTCAATGAGAACAGACTCTATCTCTCTCTCTCTCTCTCATATATATATATATATATATGTGTGTGTGTGTGTATGTATATATGTGCTTACCTCGGTAAAAAACTCATGATGATTTTGTCATGACCCATTTTATTTATCTCATGACCCACTGAAGGGTTGAGACCCACAGTTTGAAAAACCTTCCTCTAGGGAGTTGGTTCCAAAAAATAGTGGTTAATGGAAAGAAGCTGTTGAAGAACTTGTTCCTTATTAATGGAATATGAAGGGAATGAGGATGGTTTAACCCAGTGTATGTGTTACAGTGAGTATTAGCTGTAAATGTTAGAATTGCTGGAACTAAGGAATGTAGCTCAATGGAACATTTACAATGGAAATAGTGATAATATAGTGAGATGCATGTAGCATTTTGTCTGTTGGAAAGAGGTTGTAGGATGGAAAATGATTCATCACCCACAAAAGTCAATGTAAATGCTTTTGAACTATGTAAACACTGGAAAGTGAAGACTGGGCAGCTCCAGCCCAGATATGGCAGTAGTACTCTATTTTCTGGCTCTTGTAAAACACAGCAAGTGGAGTCAGGTACTTACTAGAGCAGTACAAGGAACTTACCATTTTTCCATCATCTTGCTGTTAAATCTGCTCATTGACTAATGGTGTGGGTTTGCATTTTCATTTTATTATTTTAGAACATTGAAAATAAAACATTTGAAAGTAAGTTGGTGTGAAGTATTTGTCTTATTTTCTTGAATGCAGAAGAACCAATTATTGAAGATTGCTGAACATCTTGATTGAATGAATTAATAAACATTCCATATTGTTTATTCAAAGACAATGAACTCACTAGAGAAGATCATACATTGTGAGGGACTTGGATATTGTTATTTCATTCTTAACATTGGCAATTTTAATGTGAACTTGTCTATTATTATTTTGACTATTTTCTGATTGGCTAGTCATATTATGTTTTTGATTGGTTAGAAAAGATTAAAATTTACTTTTGCTGTGAACCACTTTTTGATAGATTTTTCTTGTAGTAAAATATTTTGATTTAGGATATTAACGTAGCTTTTTATTTAATGTTTTAAATTTCGTTTATTTTTTTTTTCAAATAGTATTTATGCATTAAACTTATTTAAAATAACAAAAACTAAAAGTAACATTCTTTAAATTTTTATTACATTTTATTTCAACAAGACAGCCACATGAATAAGATTTGTTAATATAAATTCAAAGTATTCCTGTTCTAATTCAAAGGTTTATTACTGTATTTTCTTGTGTACAGTATGAGAAATTTTGAACTAAAATTACAGAGAAAAAGGTGGGGGTCATATTATACATAAGTACACATTTTTAGAATTTTTTACTCAACTTAAAGGCCTCTTATTTGAAACAGCAATATTGAAAATACACTCAGTTGGTACAATAGATAATAAAACACAAAGTAGGCAGGTGCTGATAACAATTATTTATAAAAGTTATTTGATGTATGAGCAATATTTGTTCTTTGGGAATGAACATAATTGAATGTGTTTTTGTCTCAAAATGGGAAATTCAAAGAAATTGATTAAACAAAATTAATAAAGAGAATACACAAGATCTGTCATTTTTTGATAACATTCATATTACAACAAAACACCTTTCCCTGAAAATTCAAAAATGAGTTTTGAAATGGAAATTAAGAGAAGAGACCTGCAATTGTGAAACATCCAGTTCATTTCTATTCTCCAATATCATGAAAAATTAAATATTTTAGTGAAATATATGTATGACATTGAAATTTTAATGGGTAAAATGGTACTTTTCAAAAAATATTTATATCAGGATGGCTGTACTATGGGGTCATATTATACTCCAGAATGAAACTTATTTCCTGTTTTTAGCTTCAGAACCACAGGGTCGTTATTATAATCATGTTGTATGATACACAAGAAAATATAGTAAAGCATTATGTCCACCATCCCATTTTTGAGATACGAGTTATAGGGGAAAACCTATAATTAATGGGGTCATAAATTAATAGCAAATTTTTTAAAAACCTATAATTAATACCAAACTTTTATTTTAATTTTTATAATTAATATTCTCTCTAAATATTATCTTAAGATAAAGCTTTACTTTTCAGTCTTAAAATTATCAAAAATCTTTCATAGCTTTGTGAAAGATTAAAAACAAAACAATATATAAAAAACAATATTTTATTATTTACTTAATACTTATCAGGTCTTTACAATCTTTTAAAATGTAATCTTTCTCTTCTTTAGGAGATTCTCCACCTGAATGTGTATTCAACCGACATAATCGTTTGACCTTTAGTGAGATTGTCAGTTATAAAGCTGATCGAAGTCTCAAGTGGTTGGCCATCACGGGACTCACACCAGAGGTAAGCAAAGCATAAGTTCTTTGGTTAAATTTACCAAGAAAATTATTTTTCAGTGATGTTTTGAACAATCAGCTTCATCTATTTATTTTTTTCAGCTGCTCTATTCTCTCACCTTAAGCTTAAAACAGAACCGCCTTATTTTCATCAGCACATGGATGTTCTATCTTGCCTGTCATATTGACTTGTCTTTTTAAAGATTGAACTCACAACTTTTCTTATTCAATACATTTCAGACAATCTGTTTATATTTACTATATTTGGTGACATATCAGATCAACTTTTTTCCAAAAAATATTCATAAATTTGTAATAAATGCACAAACAGAAACATTTGAACAGGGACAAATAGGGAACATAGATGAAGTTGCAGTAACAATTTTTGGCAAATATGGATAAATGTGCCCATAAAAAGACAGTGTCAAAAGGACAGTTTTCCCATGTCACCACTTTTTTTTAACTACATTCTCTCTTTGGCAATGTTTTTGTTTTAAAAGGCAATGATTAGAGCCTAAACAATATAAGGAAGTTTGAATCAATTGGCAATTAGCCAGTCTTTTGCCAATCATTCCAATAAATAATATAATTGTGTAAATAAACAATATAATAAAGAAATAGTGTTGAAAAATATATAAATTCACTTTCATCATATGTTTAGCTTTTATTCCAATTTTAATCATTGCTTTTTAAAAACAATAAACATTACCAAAGAGTGAAGTTAGTTAAAAAAGCAGTATCAAGGGAAAAACCATCCTTTTGATACTACATCTTATTGTGGGCATTTTTATCCATATTGGCCCAATATTTTTTTCTCAATATTCCATACTGAAATTGAGGGAGGTTTTTATGGGCCATAAAATTTATATATTATATTTGAACCTTGATGAATTATTTTAGGTAAACATTTTGATATATCAGCTTTTGTTCTTAGTATGTAATTTTCTAAGCACAACAGTTAAAGGCATATTCTTACATTCCCCATCATCATTAACCATATAAATAAAAAAAAATTAATGTAAATGCTTTTTGCATCATATTTTTTTCAAAGTGGATGAAATGGTTTAGCTATTATCAACTGCTGCTAAAACCTCTTTGTAAATACATCTCAAAGAAAACATCATTTGAAATGGCTTAACAGGACAGAAGTCGGAAAATATAAACTGATTAAGCAGGTACTTGTTGCCATATTTTAAATTATTTTTAGTGGGACCTTTGTTAAAAGGCATATGAAATTGGATCAAAAAGCTCACTTCATGATGCAGTCATTAACTGAATTTTGATCTGAAATCTTCACTGTACAATTTTCTTCATTAGGCTACGGACTTATTGATACACTTTTGTAACTTTGAAAACTCACTAAGATACCAACATGTTTTACCAATTTCCCGCAGATACCAATATGTTTTACCAATAAAAAATGTTAATAAATCATTTTATACTGAAATAATAAGATAGTTGATATGAAATGTGATTTCCTTCATATTTTCTCAGTCCAGCAGTAGTTGTTAATTTTGCGTATCACATTCTGCCCCTCCCCATACTACTTGGGCACTTATATAGGCTCTATGCCTTAGCTAGGCAGTCATTTACATATCACTACAAGAGGTTATACTGTAAATATAAGTCTTTAAAAAGTTCTTTAACATAAAGAAAAAACACATTCTTAAGATTTCTATCTTGTCTAAATAATGGAAAAACTATTTTAATTCATAAATTTCTGTAATAAGCTGAGAAGAATATTTTTAATATCAATCAGCAAATTAAACATTTCAGATTCATTTAAGTTCCCATTCTGCTTCTTTATATGTTGTGTCCACTCAGGATTTAGGTGATCATGGCTCTCCACAATTTCCTTTCTTTTGTAGCTCTTAATAAATTTTGTCTTTTTGTTATTTCTCCTAAACTCTGTTCCACCATCCATTTACTCAAGCTCATCATTATGCATTGTTTTCCTTTATTCCTCTTTCCCTCAATCTGTCCTGTGAGTATCCGATTTTCCTCATTATGTGCCTCAGAATTTTCAACTGTCTCTTCCTGATGTTAAGTATGTTTTCTTTTTGTTTTCATTTTCTTTGAAACCTTGTCACTGCTCACATGTTCGGTCCATGGCATCCTCAGCATCCTTCTGTAGAACCACATTTTTGTTGTTTCAAGTCTGTTCTTCATCTTTGAATTCAAAAAAAAATTATTTTATCCTTTGTTGGGTATCTGCCAATGAAGAGGGATGGAAAACTCAGCAGCACTGGAATCAAACACTGGCTCACAACAAGCAGGGCACAGATAAGACTTCCACATGGGAACACCACACATATGGGATGAACACAGCTGAGAAATCAGAAGCACAAAGACAAATTTGAAATGACACTAGTTAATGCACAGCAATCCTGTTGTGTGGTCAACACATGGTACTGCCAAGCTCTGTCTTTCCAGAAAATGAGCCTGGTTTTATGGAATCTAAAACTTTAGTGGCAGGAATCATTTGCATAGGTAAACGCCACTCAGCTCACGGTCTCGACTATCTCATGGAGAAGTGGTAGACACTTTCTTTCTTCATAACCAGACATTCTGTGGTTCACACCAGCTCTGTTCTGGTAGGGCAGTAATGTCCTGTCTTTCTGCAGAGACAGCACACTAAATATTGTCTCTTTGACAGACAGGGGCAGGCAACATTATCACTACCAGTTGGCTGCTTCATCTGCATTTCATTTCCACTACATTTAATTTTTAATTTTTTTTCTTAAAAATGTTATTTCTATTTTTGAAAGTTAGTCATTTTTAAATTAACCAGTGTGTGTGTGTGTGTGTGTGTTCCTATGGCCACATCCCCATGCCAAGTTCTGCTCACAAGATAAACCATTTGCACACATTTTTAAATTTATCAAAAAGCATTTACACAAATTACAAGATGAGGAATGTTCTGACTAGAATCCAAAATACAGGACTGAAAATCTCTAAAAATAAAAAGGAATGTAGACAGGTTGATGGTATATACAATAGTGACATATGGTGGCCGTTAATAATTAAGTATAACACAAGACTCAATGTTAAGATAAATCAGTATTTAATTACAACCACAAATAAATACTTAACAAGAACAAAGAATTAAAAGTCAACCAAAGATAATTAACCATTTCAGTAAATACCTTGTTAGTAGCATGGCTCAGCTTAATGTCCAGTAAATCCTAAATCAAAACCCAAATCACTGACGCACAATAATTCACATTAATTCAATTGGATAGTTCTACTCAATAGTCACTCAATAATCAACTGCAGTCAGTATCCTGACACCGCTATTTATACACCTGGCAGAAAACACATATTCATAAATCCAGAGTGTCACGCTCGAACCTCTGTGTTTGTAGTTACTCATTTTCTTCCTATATGACTGATAACATGCAACAACAAAAAAAAAGAAGCTTCTATCTAAGTTATCAAAAAAAATATTATTTTGGCTGATAAGAAATATACTTCTTATTTATCTTATTCACTAATTATTCATTCTGCTTTTCATGCCTGGAGCTTAGAATGTTGTTTTTTAAAACATCTCTGAAAATAGACACATAGAAAAATGGTTTTCATTTTAAATTAGCATGAAACTATTTACAGTATTTATATTCAAATTATTGTTGTCATCTTTGTTGTTGTTATGACAACATTTTGATTCTTGTGCCTTCCTTCTTCAGGTTTATATTGATCTGGGCAACCTACAGGGTATTCTGAACTAAAGGCGGTTCTCATTCCACTGTCCATGTCTAGAGATATCTCATCTATTGCTCAGTTATTGCTTGCTCTGTTTTCACTCAGTCTAAGTAAAAAAATGCTTGGCTCAGAGATTGATGTCACCAAATTCACAAGCCAACACTTTAACCCACTAGGCTATAGTCCTGTACAATATCATCCAATAGCTTAGTGGACTAAAGCAGTACTATAAATAAGTATATGATATCTCTAGACATGGGCAGTGGAATGAGAACAGTCTACTTCTGTAGATTAAATAAAGGGTTCAGTTCAGAATTCCCTGTAGGTTACCCAGATCAATATACACCTGATGAAGGCCAGGTGGGTACAAGGACCAAAACATTGTGACAACAACAAAGATGAAGACAATAGTCCAAATATAAATAGTGTAAATAATGATCACTTTTCATTCCAGACAGATATTATGAAAGATTTTGTCACTAAACTTATTCCATAAGGAACAAACATTTACTGTTGACTATATACTGGCTCAGCAAAGTCTATTAGTTGTGATATTCAAATTTCTTAGATTAAACATGGTCAGTTATTAATTTATTGGCTGGTGTTTCTTTCATCTTATTTCTATTTCTTTTTATCACAACTTCAAAATTGTTATTCCATGTAAGCACTATGGACTAGAAATAATAAATAAGCCTTTGGTGAGACTTGACCTCAAATCCCTTATCATGGAAAGCTGATTTTCTGGAACAGCTGCCTTATTGATTAGGAAACAAAGGCTAAACAGTTACAGTAATTGAAATCCAACTATATTTATTTTCCCCAAATATCAAAATTCCGTCAATGTTGTTTTTCATTGATTTTCTTATTAATTTTTTTTCTTTATTAATTTTTTGACCAGCATTTCTTAATAATAATTATGGAAACATTATCTGGGTGATAAAAAACAATAAAATATTAGTGAAAAATTAACAATAACATTTATTAATCTTCTACAAATATTTCTATAATAAAACATCAGTTGTGTAGTCATGACTCAAACAAGATCAAAGCAAGTATCATCCTTGCTAAAAATAGGTAAAAATTTATAATCACTAGGCCATGAAATCATATTTCTATGAACCAATCAAGAACAAGATCCACTCTCAACGAGGATATGATGTCCTAGTTTAGTTAACTAATCAGAGACAAGATCTGTTCCCAACAAGGATATGACATCACAACCTTGTGGACCAATCAGAAGCCAAGCAACAATTTCTAAATGAATGTTCTTATTCACCAGCATATGTATATAAAAAGAAAGATAGCTTTAATTTAGTTAAAAAAGATAAATTAATTTTATCACTTCTCCAATGCTATTGTCATCATAAAAAGGGTCAAAATACTATGCATATGTGCAACCCACACACTCTCATATTGACACAAAATTTACATGGTTGAATAAAATGCTGTTATACATACATGCTTATACACATATATTATTATTATTAAAATTTCATGAGCTTATATTTATTTCATTATAAAAATAGCCCCAATTCATCAGACCTTCAAATCAAAAATATCCTTTTGGAAATATCCATACTGATCACTAATATCATCATTTTATATAAAGATATATATGGTGCTATGGATAAATTGTCATCTAAATTATGCAAAAATGAAAATAACACTGACATCTCATTTTAACAGATATGTTTACCAAAATTACACAAAAATATCTTGAAATGCTAAAGGGTAAATTTATTCAATAAGATCTCTATGGTCTTCAACCACGGCCTTCAGATAACTTTGTAATCTTCTGCAACTCTTTTGGACTGTGTTCTTGTTTAAGTTGGTGAATGCTGCCATAATCCTTACTGTCAGATGATTTTTGGTGTTACAAAGAGTTTTGTTAGTCTCTTGCTCAACTGCATCCCTCACATAATAATCAAAGGGGTTGCAGTCTGAGGAGTTAGGTAGCCAGATGTAAGGGGTGATGTGGTTGCAGAAATTGTCTGACAGCCATGACTGGGTTCTCCTGCTTGTGTGGCATTGTGCAGAATCCTGTTGCCAGATATAGGATCTTCTAGCAGCCACCCTCTTGACTCAGAGCAGCACTATCTCATCAAGGCACTTGATGTAGACTTCTATGTTGAATCTGAGGCCCCCACCAACAAATTCAGGAGTTCATTTCATGTAAATATATTTAATATAAAAATTTATTCTGCTCACATTAACTCTTTCTTGTGATTTTCCTTCAAGTTAAGTTTTTCACAGTAATGTGTCCACCATAGATGTAAGAATCCATCCATTCTTAAACAATTAAAGAATTGAAAAGTAGTGTTGTGACCAGTATTTTCTGTTACAATTTTAGTGCATTTTTTTATAAGCCACTCTTTTACTGTAGATTGTGCAATTAATTCATAAAATATAGTTTAAATATGAAATGAAACTCAAAATGTTTATTTTGCAGCTACAAAATTGTGCTAAGCTAGTTATCCTACTATATCCACACATGTATTATTTGTTTAAAAATCAAAGAAAATAGAAAAAAGTCACTTATTAATCAAGGAGATAAGTCCTATTTTAAGATGCTCCCTAGTATCCATCTTTCACATGTAAGGCTTTATTTAAAGACTTGATTGTTGCATGTTCATTAGCTACACATTTCATTCACAAATTTTAATACAACAAAGAAGCAAATATTTGTATTAGTCATGTGCATTAATAAGTTTGAATTTTGTCATAATTTTCCAATCAATGAACTTTATTTACATGTGTCCAGATAGCTGCATTTTAAATAATCTGTACATTCTTCTTCTTTTATGTTCCATGTTCCTTCAAGATGTGGGTGATTGTGATTCTCCACAACTTTCTATCCTTTGTAGCAATGTTTGTTTTTTACTATCCTTCTTACTTCCTCTTCTAGCATCCATTTACACAAGCTTGTTAGTACATTACTTGCTGTTTTCCTCTGGCCTTCAGTGTATCCTTTGAGTTGCAAGTTTTCAAAGCTCTCTTTCCTCATTATGTATCTGAAAAAGTTAAACTGTCTCTTTCCAATTCTAAGTATGAGAGTTCTTTTTTGGTGTCCATTTTCCTTAAAACCTGCTCATTTTTCACATGCTCTGTCCATGGTATTATCAGCATTCTTTTATAAAACCACATCTCTGTTATCACAATTTGTACATTAGTAAAAAAAAAAAAATCTGTACATTACTGTAGTGAACTCACAAATGGATGTCGTCAAAAACGAATCCACATCATGTGTGCTATTTTAAATTTTAAATATGTAAATTCTGAATGAGATTCACATTACACTATGCAAATTATGTTCTATAAACTGGGTACCTTGATTGCGGTCAGGAAGTTTTGTCTATAAGTCTAAGTTGCATGGAAGATGAGCTCTTGAGATGTGCAACTTCTAGATTGAATTTTATCCCCCATATAAAATTGTTAAAAATGAGTTTTACTAAATGCTTCATTGTATGTTTGATATTTTTTCTTGATCTATACTCTTGTTTAAAATGATTACTTATATAAAATATTAAGTTTAAATAAATGTTATTTCTGAGTTAATCCTTTTCTTATATTAACTCTTTAATATGGTTCATGTCTTTCCTGAATGACAGTTCAATACAATCTTTATCTATTTTTTAAATAACTTTTACTAATTTATAAATCCTTTTACAGGAAGACCGTATCTCAGGTGTTACCCAGCTTTATAATGTGGATGAAGACATCACCCAATGTATCAATGCTCATGCTGTGTGCTTTACACACTACAGATTTGATGATAACCCACTTTCTTCGACTGTCTTCTGTGTGGCTTCGAGAGATATGCAAGATAAAGGAAAAGTAAGTAAAAGAATAAATAACAAAGGATGCAGTTCCCAGGTTATATGCAGTTGAAAGTATGGCTTCAAATTCCACTGTCATTTAGTGCATAAGTTCTTCACACACACACACACACACACACACATATATATATATATATATATATATATATAACCTTTTTTTTTTTTTTTTTTTTTTTCAGTCATTTCACCCCAAGAAAGGTAATAATACCACTAGGATGCAAAGTGTTACTGGGATTGAAAGAGAATGAGAAGACTTTAGTGAGTAGAAAAGACAATAAAAGAACAGGTTTCAGGAAAACAGAAGTCATTGTATCTAAATTTTTGAAGATCTTATATGGCAGGGAAACAAGAAATCGGTAGAGAGTTCCACAGGCAAGAAGTGCAAGAAAAGAAACTATTAGAATAGAACAGACAGTTGCATCTAGCTGCTAGTTCAACTGTAAAATGGTGAAACCTAGTTACCAATCTAGTAGCATGCTTAAATTCATTCACTAAAACAAATAAGTGCATTCAAACCTAGATGAGGGCATTGTAACTAAAAACTTTGTTGCTTAATTTCTGCTAAGAAATTTAACATAACTGGATATGGTTAATTCTGAAAATAAAATGGACAAAGCTCCTGTCCTGTAATAGGCCAAAGATTTTCATGATGAAGCAAAAAAGAATATTTAAATCCGTTAAAATTTATTGTAAATAAATAAGATATTTGCTGTGTCCAAACAATTACTAACTGCTGTGATATGAGCTTTGTTTGACTCTGATAAAATGGTGAAATAAACAAAACCTCAGTAGTATTCACTTTGACATATGTAACTGACATATGTAATTTTTGTCTGAATTTCTGGGATCAGGAGCTATCATTATTTACATTCAGAATATTGTCCTCATTTTTGTTGTTGTTATAATAATGGCCAAAATGTTATAACAACAACTAAAATGAGAATAATAGTCTGAATGTAAATAGTATAAATATTGACATATAATTTCAGTCATTTATATATAAGGTAGCTAAAAAAAGGGAAAAAGTGATCACTGATATGCAAATGAGTGTGTTATGTCCTGAGAAAACAGTGGAGGTGTGGGTCATTTCTCTTGACCAATACAAGTGCATTGTGCACACACATCAGTCATAGCTTGAGCAGTGGCAAGGAAACATGTCAGTGTCAAAGTAGCTTGTTTGGGATTGTCTGCTTTATGATTTTAAGGTGGGTTTGTCCACAGCTGCATCAAGTTGTCGAACGTCAAGCCTTTGGGGATAATACTGTGAGTGAATGTACTGCCAGGCATTGGTTTCAGAAGTTCAGGTTGGGAGATATGTCACTTTGTGATGAACCCTGCAGTAGCTGGCCACAGAACGCAGCCATGGAGGAGGACAACAGTTAAACCTGCAGTGAGCTCACCAAACACATCCAGGTTTTTGATGAAATAGTCAGACTTCACCTGTATTGCATAGGGAAGGCGTATAAGCACATACTGCCAGAAGCCAACAAGCAACAAGCGACTGCTTGTTTCTCCTTATAGCAACATACCCATATTTGATCAAGTGCTCACCAGTGACAAAATGTGGGTCTTGTATACCACTCCCAAATGTGCCAGACATTGTTTGTCACCACATGATCTTGTGCCTCACACCACAAAACCACCTCTACAAGCACACAAGATCAAGCTCTGTATTTGATGGACTAGTCGACAAGTGGTGCACTATGAGTTGCTACCAATGAAGCAGAAGAGGCCAATATTAGTTAATCACAAGGGTGTATTGTTCCTCCATGACAATGCCAGTCTGTGTAACTGTTTCTGGGAATAGTAGTGCAGGTAGCCAGGTATACCATATGGCAACTTGGCTGGGAGACACTGTGCCATCCACCTTACTCCTCAAATTTTGTGCCAACAAATTACCACCTCTTCCATTATCTGGACAACCATTTTCATGGGAAATCCTTCAGAAATGAGGCAGACTTGCAGCAGGCACTTACTGACTTCTTTGCATCCAAGACACCTGATTTTTACTGCCAGGGCATTGCACAGCTGGAGACACATTGACAAAAGTTGCTGGATGCCAATGAGGATTACTTTGAGGATTAATGGCATCTCAAATTTGCTGTATACCTTTTTTCTTTTAATAAACCAAAAATGACAAGGACTTTTTTTGTTACCTTGTAAAAGAAAGTGGCACTAGTTAAGTAGACTGGTCCACTTGTAAAAAAAAAAAATAGGGAAAAATTTGGGGTAAATAATTTTTGTAAATTAGCATTCATTGGACTTTCCTTAGGTCACAACATTTGTCAGAATCAGAAAATATTGATTTTTTTTTTATCAATTTAGAAAGTGGGTCATAATATCAATACAGTGTAAAACATGACCACTGAAGTTAAACAACATTGAGCTTGGTCAGTACCTAGATAGGTAACCACTTGGGAATACCAGGTACTGTAAGCTTGGATGTGCAGGTGGTGTGATGGATAATGGCTTGGATTTGGAAATTGGAGAGACAAGTTCTAATTCCAGTCATTCATTATATTCACTTAAATGCAAATACCCTTGGGAAAGGTATGAATCCACTTCTGTCTCAGCTATGGGTTAGTTAGTAGAACTTGTATCAGTAAATTGTGAATGATTTACTGATGCAAGTAAATGAATGATTATACATCGGTTTATATTTTATTTTATTCATGTCTATAGATATTGAAACATTAATTCTTTCTTTTGACAAACAGAAAAAAGCCACAATTTATGTTGGCCACTAATAAAGTCACAGGAAAGTACCATAAACAAAGTAATAAAAGAGAAAATATTTTAAATTATTTATTAACTGACAATACGTAACTTTAGTGTTTATGGGTTTTTCTTTGTATCAAGTCAGATCTTAAAGGGTAGTCGGGAACCTTAGCTGTGCAATATATTGAATAAGAAACCCCTTGTATAAGTCTACGTTTGAAATAGACCTAATATCCTTTGTTGAATTAATGACAGTTTAATTAACCTTATCAATTCCAATTGACATTAAACTTTTTATAAAGAATTGTTTTTTAAAGATTTTACTTGATTTAAAATTTAAATTTAATTGCAATTTTTTTTAAACTGTAGTTACATATTTTAATGTATTTATTATTTAATATATAATTGATTTGTTTTGTCCTCAAGAAGTCACATGACCACCCTTCATTTGTTGTTACAGATAATTACTATTGAAAACAAACACTCTATAAATCCTAATTTGACCTTTCTTCTATAATAGGTCAATTTAGAACACAAACAAACCTAATCCAGTGTTATTTCATGAACAAAGACTTTATTTAAGCACTTAATTCAGCATAAACTATCTTTGTATACAGTCTACATTGTTTGTGTAACATCTAGCAACTCATGACTACATTACTGAAAGGTATTATGGAAAATGCAATAGCACCATCATCTCATGAAGTGTATGTCTTCAAAAGGGGTGGGACTTTGAAGGTGATAGGAGGTAGTAATGACTAGATAAGCAAATTTTGATCTTGTAGTGTCATTTCAAGAATTAAATTGTCACACCTTGTATGTGCTCATTGCTTTTATCTGTAATGCATCAGTTTTTGTAAGATTTTCCTGAAAAATAATCTTAAAATGCTGGAATTCAAGAGAATTTTGAATCCTGATATGTAGGAATATCATTTAATTCATGTATTAAAAACCATCTTTTTGTGCATTTGAACATAATTGATACAAAATAAACCAAATAGACAACATGGATGTTATACATACATTGGTCATGCATTTTTGAAAATTACTTTTACAAAAAAGAAATGTGTTATTTTTCTTAGCTTGTATTAAGAAAAATATTAAAAAACAAAATGAGCAAATGGATTTAAAGATATTTAAGGCACGTTTTAAAGAAACAGGAAAAGTTACAAACTTTTAACTGATATGGTTTATTGTATATCTTTGTCCTTTCATACCATCCACATTTAAATAGTATGATTTTCCTTCTGCAAAAAAAAAGTAGTAACAAAGATAGTTGCCATAATAACCATTTAATTTAAACAAATTAAGTCTTGAAGACAATTCACCTTGTTGAGCATTTATTCAAAGATTAATTGATTAATATTTAATCAATATAAATGTTTGAATTATAATCATTCTTTATTTTTACCTTGTTTCAGATCCACGTGATAGAGCTGGGACCCTACAAACATGGAAATTTTGCTCCCAGAAACAGTTACACAGAAATTAGATTTTCAGATGACCTTGACCGATATGATTTTCCAGTAACTCTACAGGTTATAAACAATATAGATTGATACTATTTTCTCCTAATTTCATATTTCCAAAATTCTTTTTCAAACCTTTTGGATCTTTCAATATTGCAGAAAAAAAAAGGAAATTCCTGATGAAGTTTTTAATACTTTTTTTGTATAATTGAACACATTTTTGGGGAGGGTTGCTGATGTTGTTACCACTTTTCAGCCAAACCATTCTACAGCCTTTTTTTTAATTTATAAAGAAAGAGAAAGGTTTTATGGAATTTAAGGATTGCATGTTGGTGTCTTGTAGTTGTGTATGCATATGTTCACATATAAACAATTAAAGAAAAAACAGCAAAAAAGACTTGGTTTTCTACTACAGACCGTCTCTTTTTTTCTTATAGAAACTGTAGTGTAGGGAAACAAAGTTCTCAATGTCTCTTGGATATGTCTATTTTCTTTTTCTGGTCCAGAAGTATGTTAGGATAAGTATCATTATAACGGCTGTGCTCAAGTCAGCTTTGTGCTGGGTTGGAACAGCCAAAGAAAGGTTGTATTTACTTCATCACTGAGATTCTGCAAAACAGGTTAAAACGTTATGCATTGGAAAGTGAAAAGAGATCCAATTCTATCCCTTTTGGAAAGTGGTGTTTCCTTTTTTGATCCAGAAGTCAGTTAGCGTAAGTAATGATAAGAATGGTCATAATGGTTGAGCTCAAATCAGACTTACACTGAGTTTGAATAACTAAAGTATAATTTGTACTTACTTCAATGTTGGAGGTTCAGCAAAATACATCTGAAGGCTATGTATTGGGAAGTGGAAGAGAGTGCAATCCGTCCTTTCTGGAAATGGTGTTATAAAAGTACACAGATGACCAAAAACCCTTTCTGGTTCCTTTATTACTAGCATTATGGGAAAATGTATTTATTTTTTCTTTTTATTCTTTAATATTTTATTCAATGATTTTATTTCATTTTCTCCTTTTTTTGTTATAATTTGCTGAAAAAGAGGGCAACAGAAAATGATAGCTAATATGCCAACTGGCTCATTTCATCTCAGCAATGCAAACTACATAGACAATACTATTCTCAGCCACCTATGTAACTCAAATGATTCTAATTTTTTTCTAGAGAGAGAAAATGCACACATTAACATGTCTGGAATAAAGTTCAGATAATTGATAGCAAACACCACCAGAGAGTGAGAAAATTTTAAAAACTTGTTTGTGTGTTGCATAAGTCAGCCAGTATAGATTTCAGCACACGTGATTTTCTTTGTACAAAAAAAAAATAGGAGAAATCACACCCCATGTGTAAATTAGAATCACTTGTGTTAAATGGTAAATTGTGAATAGAATTATCTGTGGCTTACACTGTCAGATTTTATTATGCAAGTCAATGTTTACATAATAAAATTGCTATTAACCATTGCAAACAAAGTGCAATATATTTTTATTTAGTAAAAAGTCCAAAAAGCAAGATATATATATATATATATATATATATATATATATATATATATATATATATATATATAATATGACATTATGAAATGGTCTAAATCTGACAATTATTTTTATTTTTTCTGTAGTTAAATGGTATAGCACATCAGGCTATATGACAGTTCCATGTAGGATACAGGTTTGATTCTTATTGGAGGACATATGTTTTCTACAGAATTTCTCAGACATTTAGGCTGATAAATGTTGTTAATACTGTTTATTATAAACAGAGTATCTATTTAAGTCTTTGTATCTAAAAAAATAATGTGTATTATATAAAACTGGTAAATAGCTTAACCATTTGAAAAAAAAAAAACAGATCATAAATACAAAACTATTTTGGCAAATTATGCAACCATTAAGTAAAGAGTATCCATATATGATGTTAATACTACTAACTAAATATCAATACAGAGTTATATTAAATGAAAATAGAATAGTAAGCCATATAAGGTGCACCACAGTTCATCTACTGATTATTACTATAAAAAAAGTATTATCAAATTCAAAGTTTAAACATACTGTAAGGTAAAAGTAGACTATGCCTATGATTTACAGTCAATTCACTTTGTTTAATAAGGAGTTTTATCAGAAAATCTGATAATTTCTAATTTTATATATATATATATATATATATATATATTTAAAGAAGTAATGGATTTTATACATATATCAAATTAAAAAGATCAAACAGTCAGATTTATAATCAAGAGTTCTTTAGCATTTATCTTTAAAACAGTGTTTGATACACAGTAGAGCATAATATTATAATTATATAAATTGATAAATTGATTTACTCTATTTATAAGCAAAACAGTATTACATAGTTTAAGTTGGTGGGGGAAGGAGAATTCAAAATTTTTTAAGGGTGTTTTTTTTTTTTTGTTTATTTTTTTTTGATGAATCAAGATACAAGTATAATTTTATATGGCAAAGTGAAAAATGTTTAAGATTAGGTGTGGGTTTGAGATCTCTGTCTGTTAACTTTTTATGTGAATATGTCATTACAGTCTTTTTTTATTTTGGGTCACACTACAATTGACACTTTTATTTATTTTTTATTCATTTTCTTATTTTCTAAAATAAATTGAGATTTTCTTAAAGGGGTTTTCAAATATGATTAAGTCATTATATTTTTATTTATAAAGATCTAAAATACTATATTTATTATATTTACTAATAAACTATATATGTTATTGTAAAATTAAAATATTAGAATTTAATTATGCATTTTTAAACTATTTATGATCAAATAATAGATATCTAATTATGCAAATTATTTTTATAATTAATTATTTTTAAGGAGAATACGAGACAGTGTCTACAAAAGTCTGCTATTTCATTTCTTTGATTTAATAAATTTTCATTTTTCAGAAATTTAATAATATATAACTTTTCATGCAGGCACAAAGGACATGGATCATTTAAAGATCTAGATGTTCCCATTTTTTTATTAGTTTCCATTTTACTGTGGGTGTTTTATTTGTTTCTTTAAATGTCAAAAACATTTAGATAGGGATGTTTGGTTGTGATACTTAATATTATTGAAGGAAGTCAGATGTTGGCTCCATCTTACTTTAAATTCATTTTTAGTACATACAATAAAACATTTCACAATATTAGGATTCTCAATAAATGAGATAGTGCATTGGTAAACTACATATTCTGTGAGATATTTATTATTCAAAGGACAATTTTCAGGATTCCTACAGTTACATAATTTTTCTTTACTATTGTTTATTCTTATTTCTGGATCACTAATTCTTTGATTCTGGCTTAAGTATTTATTTAAAAGTTTATTATGTTTTTGTTAATTTTTAAAAAATTTTTCAGTATAACTATAACTTAATTTTAAGGTATTTTTATTAAAAATTTTGCCAAGTGTATTTCTAGGAAAATGTTTTTCAATTAAAGCAAGAAATTTATGTCCTAACTTACTACTATTTGGTTGAATGGAGGTGTGTACCAAATGATTTTTCTGTTTTTATTTTTTCTCTAGTTTTATTATCATTTTTTATATAATTAATGTCAGGGCATTTATAGCCACTATTCTTTAAAGCTTTATTATAAAAATTACTGATTAATTAATATTTTTTCATTAGCAGAATTTATACTTATTCGTTTTTCAATGAATGAAGGTACATGTTTTATTATAAATGGGGGATGATTTGACTTCAGGTGTATATATAAAGGATTAGTATTAGGTTTTTTATAAGGTTGGTACATATCATTCATTAAGTCTAATGTTATTATTGAGGAAGTTTACCTTTTTTAATTTTGTATTTACAGTAACTTTCAAATTTAGGCATTTAAATTCTCTATGAATTAGTTTTCTAATTTTATCAACTTTAAAGTTTGTAGACTAGGGATGATGGCCTTATGGTTGTGCGGAAGTCTAAAATTTAGACTATATGACAGTTCCGTGTAGGATACAGGTTCGATTCCTGTAAGAGGACACATATTTTCTATTAAATTTTATAGACATTCAGTCTGGTAAAAGTTGTTAATACTGTTTATTATAAACAGAGCATTTACTTAAATTTGTATCTATAAAAATAATGTATAAACAATAAATATATTAATATATATATATGTGTGTGTGTGTGTGTGTCTGTGTGTATAAAGAATTAATGGACATTTTATTATTCCAATAATATATCCACTAAAATAACATTATATACAGGGTGCGATGGGTAAATTGTCGCCCTTTTTATATTTTTAATTTTGTACACTCGCATTGTTTGTTAAGTATAGTAGTGTCAGTTGGGCACAAGCTGTGAGGAAAAAAAATGCCATGACACAATTCACTCTGCCAGAAATTTGCAAACAGCATGCTCTACTGTTTAGCATCCACACCAGCAGCTCAAATATGAAGATTTCAGTGTTTGGATGTCAATCTGAGGACAGTGTAGAGGATTCAGAAAGAGTTGGATAAGTCTAATGGTGATTACGAAGGTACAACCACTTGAAAAACTCACTCTGATCATTCTGATAAGAAAAGAACTCCTGAATTTGCTGGTAAAAATTTATATATGTTTGGAATATGAAAAACCCTCAAGTTACATAATAAATCTCATGTGACCAAATAAATTATTGTAAATATTTCTAAAAATAGATAAGATGAAATTCATCTGGTATATTTATCATATAAATATATCCTGATAAATTTTAACAGCATCAATTTTTTATCAATTTTATTGACATGAAAATCTGACATAGTCTACATGTTTTGTCAAATTGATTAATATATTAGCCATATATTTTTTCTGCTATCTTGTTTAGTAAGAAACAAATAAGATCTTTTTTTTTCCTTATAGATTATGAACTTAAAGAAGGCTGTAGAATGGATCAGTTGAAATTATATGATAAAAATATTGTCAACACAAAAAAATGAGTCTTTGATAAAATGCTAATGACTTTTCATAATTATAGACTACATAAATTAGAAATTTATGAAGAATCTTTTAAAAGAAGTCTTACTGCCCTACAAAACATCATTTTGATATGTCATGGCAAATCTTTAAAATTTAATGACAAATTTCTCCTGGATTTTAAAGAACGGTTCCAATTATATTTGTCATAAATTTTTTTGCCATCTTTTAATTGTGTGAAACTTAAAATTTTCTTTTTATTATTTAAATTCTTCTTTATTATACATTTTTTTATTATATATATATATATATATATATATATATATATATATATAAATTAATGATTTTGAAATTGTAAAAATATCTTTCCAGTGTATTTCTTCTCAAATTCTTTCTACACCAAATCGTTTACACCAACATTATTATTATACATTGATGTGCCAAAAGTCATAGGATAACAATATGCATATTTATATGCAGATTTTATCACAATTACAATAAGTTTGTCTTTGTAATTTACCCATGAGGACGATCTTGGAGAAGATCAGATGTACTTGGGTAGGAAAAAATACAGCACCTTCTTTGATGAAATTGATTAAAGAACTGGAAAGGATCAGTATAAAAATAGACAAAATATGTCTATATTATTCAATGAAACATGTTTGAATGAAGATATGCTGCCTAAATACACACACACATATATTGATGTGTATTTGGGCAGAAACTTTTCTTTTATGAATCTTTAATTGAAAACAGCCAACAAGGAAGATTTAATTAACCTTTTATTGAGTTTTTCCAGCAGTCTAATTTTTCTGTTTTTCAGGGTTTAAAGAATATAGGAATTGTCCATAGTCATAATTGCTCCAAGTGCTTTTGGCAACTTCTCTAGTCATTATCAAGGATGTGTTTTTGGATGGTGAAATTCTGTGTGGCAGCTACATTGTAATTTTACAGTGTAGAGTTTGAGTGGTTTGTCTGCTTCTTGGCAGGCACATGCTATGTGTAGCCAGTTGACTGAAGCAAGACTTTTATTCTTAGAACACTTTTAACACACTATCTCCTCTTCTAAATAGTGTGAGATTGATAGTAGTAGAATAAAGTTTAATAAGCAGAGCCTCCCTAATGATGAGCTGTGTACAATTATGTTACCTGAAAAGGAGCTTTGTATTATCAACTAGAATTTTCCTTAAATGTTTTTGGAAGTTATGAGTTAATAAATGTTTATTAATCGCACTCTACTACAACAGGTGGCACATAAGATGTCTACTGACTAAGGTAGTGGTGTGTTCAATATAGGTCATTGGTTTTTGACAAGTAACACAGTCATGATATTGGTACACTATATTGGTCACTGCTAGTTTAGATTTGATGGGGTTATTTCTGTTTGTGATTTATGGTCTTCCATTTTCTATAATATATTATGAACTTCATATATATTGCCTTGGATTTTGTTACAGGTCAGTGGAGACTATGGACTTTTGTATGTTGTGACAAAATATGGATACTTGTACTTGTGTGACATGGAGACTGCTGCCTGCCTGTGTGTAACTCGAGTGTCCCCAGAGATCATCTTTACTTCTACCATCAATAGTGTTACACAAGGAATTTTAGGGATCACAAGATCAGGAAGAGTAAGTTTTCTTTTCTATATCAAAATAATTTGATTGTATTCATGGAGTTCAAATTTTGAAAAAAAAAAAAAAATAAATTCAGTAGTTCATCTCCAAAGTTTTAAAACTGTCTTTTGTATTTTTCAAAGGAAGAAAATACTGGAATAGTAAGAAAAACATTTACTGTATTTGTGTGAGCATTTAATGTTATTGAAATATATAGCTGCAATATGGAAGTATAGCTTGAATAAATCAAAGAACTAGACAGCAAGACAATGTTTTTAATAATAATAATAATAATGATAATTGTTAGAGTGAGTGAAGTTGTTCCTCATGATATGAAGATGCTATAAATGAGATTACCATGGAAGTGTGGTGAATACAAAATAAAAATAACTCTCTTTACTCCACTGTTTTCAAATTCATAAGCCTATGTGAAAATTTATTTTGACCAATGGAAAAGGGAGCGGCTTACAAACTGAGGAAAAAGTAATGAGCTGATGTAAAATCGCTTTTTGATACAAATAGGCAGAGAAAGTTGAATCAAGGCAGAGAGTGAGAAAAAGCAGAAAAAAACAGGAGGCAGAAAGCCAGAGTTTCACGTGTCTGAATAACGCCAGTGTCAAATTACATGCTGATACATTATCAGCCTCTAATGAGAGCAGGGAAATTTCAAAGAACTCTATTCAACTCCAAAGCTAAGTACCTCAAAATATATCTTTTTATTCATGTTGAATACAACCGTATAACTTTTATGTGAAAAACAAACTCTCTCAATTTGTTTTAAACATTTTAGAATATTACTTTGTGTCCAATGATTCAGTATGAACATTTTCTCTTCTTGACAATTTATCGAAACTACAAACTTTAATTATTTGATTCCTTTTCTTGAAACATGTTACTGACAACTTCAAATGTATAAATTTATAAATGAATTCCTTATCTTGTTTCATTAAATATAACACGTATGTTTTCTTGTCATTTTCCCTCAATACTTCAGAGGAATGAGAAAAAATGTTATTGAGTTGGAAACATGGATGAAGGTGTTGCAGGAGAATACTAGGATTATTTAACTATAATAATAATACCACAATTTACAAGAGAAAAACTCAGCTTTTTAGCTCAACTTTGAATATAAGAATAATTTTGAGCCATGTTTTGGAAAAATACAATAATTTGAATACAGTAATTTATAATCTTTATAAAGACAGCAGAATTGACTTTAACAGGACTAAGCAATGAAAAGTTTCCCTGAAGAAGTAATTACTTAACTTTTTCGACAAGAAGCTATAAAAAAAAATAAATTCAAACAGGTTTGTGGTATAGCAGAAGATACTTGCATTATTAAAATTTAACTGGAATTTCACATGATTAAAATTAATACTAATTAATATTTCATTTTTAGCTTTAATAATAAATTCTCTTTATTTATTAGCAAGTAACTTTTTAAAGAACTGTCTTGCCTTACAAAGCAAATTTTTACTAAAACCTTGAGACATGATCAGCAAAAAAGTAGCAAGGAATTCAAACTTTCAGACAGACATATTTCCATATACAAGGACAGTTTAAGCTAGTGTGGGACCAGTAGGATATGCTATAAAGGAGACTTAAATTTAAAAAAAAAATCACATAAATATTAAATCTAAAGTTATTTACTAACACAGTGATTGAATTTATAAAACAAATATTTAAATTGTTAACATAATCAACAAAGCCAGAAAAATATGAAGCAAATGATTCTAACAAGATATTTGAGTAGATTTAACATCCTCAATATAATGTTACCTGAATTGATGAATAACTAAAGATGCAACTCTCCTGACATCTACACAACAACATCACCAGATTGTAAGATGCCAATTTCACCAGACAATTTGAAAGCATTTAATGTGGGGGGCCTTGAAAATGCAGGGATCATAGTATTTGCTATTGTTGCTACTAGGTTAATGACATTGTCCATATATGTATTATTAAAATAAGAATGGTTTTATTTTCAATTTCACATTACTTATGCCACATTAATAGATCAAGGATAATTAAGAGCAGATCATAACAGAATATGTAGATAATGTTGTCTATAATTGCTAATAATTTAATTTCATTAAATATATATTTTTTAATCATTTCACCCCAAGCAAGGTAACAATGCCACTAAGGCGCAAAGGGTTACTGGGAGAATGAAAAGGTGAAGCCTTTAGTGAGGAGAAAGGAGAATAAAAGAACAGGGTTCAGGAAGACAGAAGATGGCAGTTGGCATTGCATTTAAATTTTTGAAGATTGTAAGTAGCAGGGAAGCAAGAAATCAGAAAGAAGCTCCACAGGTAAAAACTGTGAGAAAAGAAACTATTAGAATAGAACATACGGTTGCACCTATAGGTAGCTCGACAGTAAAATGTTGAGACTTAGTTTGCCAATCTAGTAGCACACTTAAATTCATGCAGTCAAGGTACCAAGGAAGAAACCTCATCAGAGCAAAATTGCCATGAAAATATTTGCAGAAAAGATAGAGAAGCCACTTCCCATTGGTGAGAAAATGACTGAATTCAAGATGCCAGGTCAATTACATTAGATGCTTCTTTGAATTTTGTCAAAAATCTTCATGTACAGCAAGAACCCCAGACCAGATATGGCAGTTTTAAGTAAGGATTTAATAAGGTATTAGTTTTTCTTGGAAATGTTTTAACATATGACAGAAAATGTGACACTGAAAACTGAAGGTACACTGGTATAGCAAAAGATGGCTTTGCAAAAACTAAACAAAGTATTAAGAAGTAGGAAAATCTTAAAGAAAAGAGTGCTGAAGTGCTATGCAATATCAATCCCCCTATATGACAGGGAATTTCCTCAAAGCAACAGAGATATGGTTCTACAGAAAGATGTTGAGAATACCATTGATACCAAAGAAAAATTTTAAGGAAAATAGAAACAAAAAGGTGCTTATATATAAAATCAGAAAAGAGTTGAAAATTCTAGGAAAGAATCCTCCTTAACCTTTTATTTGAAGTAAGGTATAATATCAACATCTTGATTATGTCATTATTTTCTCTTCCAGTACATGTGGCTCTTAATGCTCTTGATTGGGGTTTCCTACCTTGCTTCTATTTTTTTTGTCGGGGGGGTAGTGTGGAATGTCAGCATTTTGATTATGTCAGTATTTTCTCTTCGAGTTACATATGCTATCTATTTTGGTTACTGCTGTTAAAAGTTCTCAAGTGATGTGGTTTCTGTTATTTGGTACAATTCTTTGTTTCTGAATCTGTAGCCAGTCCACAAAGTTTGAAGAAAGATGGTCCTCACTAACAACTACGAGCTTCATTCGCTCAAAGCCATTTTTTAATCACATCTAAAATCTATATTTTGTAATTCCTTTACATTAAATTTTGATGTCATTTTATTTTCTGTCTTGCAGATCATAAGTGTGGACATCAAAAAAGAGGTTTTATTATCCCAGGTGCGTGAGAGTGCAAAATGGGCAAACCAAGCAAGCCGACTCGAACGAGCAATGGCCCGTAATGAGGAAAAACGAACCCCCAGCAAACAAGTGCATAATAATAACAACAATTTTGGTGTTATCTTGAACAACAATACTAACCTAACTAGTATTGGCCTGACTCAGTCCCCTAAGGCCAGTGGTTGTGCTAGCAAGGACAGTACTGGTAGCAGCAGTAGTAGCAGCAGTAGTTGTAGTAGTAGCAGCTGTGTCATTAGTGAGGGAAAAACATAATATAAACAATAGTTGAATGCTATATACCGACTCAGACAAAACAAAATGACCATATTTTAAACATTTGTTCCATATCTACAAGATGCCTATTTATTTTTTGTTAAGTTTTAAAACACATTGATTATTATTTTGCATTATTGAAAGCAGATATTGAAGAAAACATTTCTTCATAAGAGAGGAAAATATAAGAATTTAAAAAAAAAAAAAATAGTATCTGTTCCTCCATGAAATTCTTATTTGTGGTTTTATATTGATACTGTTGATAAATATTGTAAAGGTGTCCTTACAGTACTAATGACTACAAATATAAATCAGTCTGTTAATTATTGAAGTTGTTTTATAAATTTCCATGAATACATTATGGCTCATTTGGTTCTCATTCTTTTAATAATCACATTGGTGCAAATATGGTTCAAGTTCTATATAAGCACTTTTAATTTCTCACTCAAACTATATTTTTTACCAATATGATTAGATAAAGAACTGAGGAATTAATTATATCATATTTATAAGAAATTATGGAAGACCATTTTCCAGAATTCTTTATTTATCATTAACAGAAGAAAAGTTATATCGTATTTATCAGAATATCAATATACAGTCACAATTTTTTCTTTTAAAAGAACAAGAATGTTTGAGGCTGTTTTGTAACTTTAAAATTCACTGAAAGATCAAATTGTGTAGAAATTTCTTTTCGTAAAAGGGAGATAACTCTATATTGTAGTTTGCAAATTGGCTATAATTACAATTAGTTTTCTTTTTCATAAGTAAATTTATATAAACTCTTATAAACTTAAGTAATTTTTAGAAAGTATTGAAATTATTTTATTTTGTTTCATTTATGTATATACACTTTCTTTCTTATTCTTTTCACACTATGTATAGAAATTGAAATAATAACAATTTAGTCTGTTTTATAAATTTCATATTTTATTATAAGAATGAGACATTGTCAGTTACTTTTAGTAATTTTGTTTTTTTTTTCTCAAATTTCACAAACATTGTTAAGTTTTATAAATTTTTAGGGTATTTTTGAGATATGAAACAAATCTAAAATTTACCAAATATTTCATGTTACACTTAAAAAAATAAATAATATTTGCATGTGAAGACATTTAAGTGATCACTGACAAAACTCATGAACTGAAGAATAGAAGAAAAGAAAAAAAAATGCCATAGAATTGTACTGTTAAAACATATCTGGATTTCATGATACTGTGTTCTTGAAAAATTTTATTTCATTCTATTTTTTTAAGATTCATTTCTCATGCAATGTTTTTTTAAAAAAGAAGAAAAATTTGTAAAAACTAAAAAAAAAAAAAGAAGTTTTCTCTCTCTTTCTCTCTTGTTGCCTTTTTTGATGAAAATTTTTTTTTTCAGATTATCATTTGGGAAAAATAGACAATTTTTCCACTTGTCTTCCCTGCTGCTACCAATCAATCTCTTTCTGATAAATAATCTATAAATTTTCTCTTTCTGATAAATAATCTATAAATTTTGCATTAAACATTCTCATTGTTACTGCTTTCATTCAGAAATTAAAAACACAGGTTGTCATCTTTTCTAGAGTCAGTTATAATGATTAGAATCAGTTTTAGCAAACTTCCAAGCCAAACATCAATTTTCATATTTGAATACAAAATTAATCCTTTATTTCTTGAAAAAGAAGCAACTACAACAGTTTGTTAATTTATAATACATATTTCATCTCAGAAGTTTAGGCCTATCTCAATGCTGTAATAGTTGCTACATTTGCATATTTTTCTTTTTATTAATGGTGTAGATTAACTGGCTGTGGTTAAATATAATTGGCAGAAATTCCCAACAGACAGAAACTGACAGTTTTCAATAAACAATAACAAAAGAAAAAAAGGACAGGGCAAAAATAATACTAAACAAACAATACATGCAAGACAAAAGTAGGCAAAGCAACATGAGAGAAACAATTTCATAAAGTAAGAATGGTGTTGAAACAACAAAAGGGATACAGACAAATGATCACAGTGTTCTGACATCAAGACAAGTAAGAACAAAAATATGGTGGATGAGACCAAGAAGTGATCTATTTTATTGGCCAGAAAGAAATCCCAGCATACATCTGTATGTTTTATCTATAATTTGGGGAGGGAAATGTTTTTGCAGTCATTCCTGCTCGGATTGGACAACACTTATTAAAAGTTATGTTTATATGTCCAAATGATAACTTCATGTTACAATGACAGTAATCATTTATTTAAAATAACATGGTGTCTTAAAGTAAGTTGTTCAAAGGTAAACAAAAATTGCAATGTTCAAAAAATGTGTTTATATATTTTAGCAGATCACATCAAACATGGATGGAAATTTAAGGACTTGTTAATCTATAATAATAATAATCTATATAATTCCCATAAAATTAAGTGTATGAATAAAGAAAAACATCAATATGAAAATCAGTTATCAAACAGCATAAAATGTAAATCTTATATTTTAAATGCAAAAACAATAAAAAATGTTTAGATGTAAATTTAAATGCTTCTTGAAATGAATGATTCCAAGCATGAAATTCATAGGCTAATATCATTTTCATTGAATTAATCTTTCAATAATGTTTTTATTTACAAAATGCAACAAGTATTATGGTACATTAAATTTATCAGCATTCCCAAATTTTGACATTTTCATTTTTTGGGTCAAATGAAGTCACATACAGAGTGATAAAAGTTAATATCATTCTTTATCATTCTGTATGTGACTTCATTTACTGTACAAAAAGATTATCCTGCCACTGAAGATGACTCTGATCCCTGAACAACAGTGTGTTTGAATTTCCCAGTTGTGTTGTCTTATCCTTCTATGGCAAAAGAATACAACTTTGAGCGAAATTAACACTAAGTATACTGCAATTGAGAGGCCTTAAAAAAGAATGCAGTGGAAAGGGAAGTAGTAATAATAATGCAGAGTGTTTAAGGTTAAAACCACCAGATAATCATATATGATAATAGTGGCAATATATTTATTTTCAGGATTTGAAAAGTTCTCAGACTATGAGTGGGTGCTTTCCACCTAAGAAAGGCTTCCAAAATAAAATCTAATTTTTGGACATTTTGTCAGATTTTGGAAAGTGGGTTCAGCGGAGAACTTTTCAGCATCCCATTGTATAACAAGGTTCAACTTCCTCTTGAAAATTAGTATGAAGTTTTATGGTTTAAGGACATTTTTTTGTCTGTATTTCTTCATGATATAGATATTTAAACCTTCTTAGATGACTAAAGTGTACAAGTTTAGGTTCCATATCTTTTGTAGTGTGTGTGTATGTATGTGTGTGTATATATATATATATATATATATATATATATATATATATATAAAACCAAATACAGGGTTAATATAGATGGAATAAAATTCCAATAACCAAAACCACTATTTTTTTAAAAATTTGTAACAATAACGGATACTTTTTACATCAGTGTTGTCAAGCTATTTGAATTATCATATACTTGTATTTTGATTGACTATCATAGCTTACGTAATAATGTTCTCTCTACTGGGGAGTGAGGTTGATTTTGAACTTTTTAAAACAATTTATTTTGAAATCAACACCATCTCTTGGCAAGACACCAGAAGTGTTGAAACAAAATGGCTATTTTTGTAGTGATGTTTTATATCATATATTATATTATAAGTTTTAAATAATATATATATATATATATATATATATAGTAAATATATAAATATATATATATATATATATATATATATATATATATATATATATATAGTAAATATATATATATATATATATAGCATAGTACCCATAAATAAATAATATATATATATATATAAATATAATATATATAAATAAAATAAATATATATAATATAAGCATAGTACCATAAATAAATAAATATATATATATATATATAAGCATAGTACTCATAAAAATGACAAGATTATTTACATATGGATCATAATTTCTGACTATGACCAGAGTGTAGTATTTGTCCACAGGCAAAAGAAAATACATAAAATGATTTATATATATTTATAGATAACTGATTTACCAACTAAATATGAATTTAGATAAGTAGCTAGGTTTTGTATCCAAACATAAACAGTAATTTTCTAAAGAAAAAACAAAATCTTTTATTTATTAATCCAACAGATTTTTATCTCTTTAGACATTACCTTTAGGGAATAATCATATCTGAATAGATGCTTTGTTTATTTATTAAACAATATTTATTTAGTTTCATTTACTGACCTGAATATTCAAGAAATCTCATTAAAGAAATATATATGCTCTCCAGAGAGCACTGTTTATTAAATGAATGGGGCATCTACTCAAATATGAGTATCCACTAAAAATATATTTCAAGTAAAATAAGTAGCTAAATAAATAGAGAAGTAAGGAGACAATTTTTTGGAGTGAGTGTATTTATTTTAAATATTTATAAACGTCAGCAAGATCAGTTAATTTTGTCAACATGGAATTTTTTTTTTCAGAATATTGTTAACAAGACAAAAACTTAATTTTTTAAAGACTATTTTAATATTTTTAATATATTGAAAGACATGACCACTTGATAGCCTCTACAAATAGTTGTTTTTATTTTTTATCTTGCTTCCTTCTACTTTTCTTTCAACAGAAAATGAGTTGCATGAAGATTACATGTGATACCATTTTTGGTAATTTCTGTTTTTTTTTTTTTTGTTTTTTTGTTTTTTAAACATGGGAACCCATCTATTTTTGTGAGTGAATAGATGCAAAGATTTTCTAACTCCATTAGCATCACTGCAGACATCAGGGTGTTCCCATTGACCTCGCCCACTTTTAGTGTAATGGAGACATATCAGGAGACAAATATTCCCAGGAACCAGGCATTGATAAATTTTGTGAACTACCATGACTAGGAACTACCAACCAAGAAATGTTGAAACTCTACATGAAAATAGTAAAAAAAAAAAGTTTCATCCTCAATAATTGCAAATTCGATATAAGAAATTGAACCATTCGTATG